TGTGAGTAAGAAGTAAAGAAATCAGCCCGCGAAGTAACATGAAATGAAGCTCCAGAATCAATTACCCAATCCGTCTCTTGGCCAATCAAATTAACGCTAGCATCATCACGGATAATCATGAGTTCATCATCGGTAACTACAGCTGTATCAATTTGCTTTTTCTCTGAATTTTTCTCTTTGTTTTGCTCCTTGAACTTGAGTTTTCTACATTCCCGCTTCATGTGCCCTTTCTTGTGACAATAATAGCATTCAACATCCTTTTTTGACATCGAGCTTGAACGACCTCTAGATTTATCACGGTTGTGCGGAACCCTACTCTTACTCCTGCCTCTCCCCCGGTTTTCCATTACAAGTGCCTCGAAGTAAGAAGAACCTGATGATTTTCTTCTTGTTTCTTCATTCAACAAACTGCTGGTAACTTGACTCATTGTTACCACTCCATCAGGTGCGGAGTTACTAACTGTGACCACCAAAGTTTCCCAGCTTTCGGGAAGTGAACTAAGAAGTAACAAAGCTTGCAACTCATCATCAAAAGTAATTTTCATGGCGGCCAACTGATTCACAATGCTCTTAATCTCATTCAAATGCTCTGCAATAGAAGTATCCTCCTTATATTTAGAGTTCACAAGCTTTCGAAATAAAAAGGCTTTATTCACTGCCGTCTTTCTATCATACAAACTCTCCAATTTGGTCCAAAGACCATGTGCAGATTTTTCTGTAGAGACATGATGAAAGACACTATCATCAATCCATTGCCGAATAAAACCGACAGCTTTCCGGTCTAGCTTTTTCCACTCGTCATCTTTCATCCCTTCCGGTTTGCCACTATCACCCTCTATGGGTCCATTCAAATCTTTACAAAATAAAAGATCTTCCATTTTAGTTTTCCAAGTCACCCAATTTGTGCCATTGAAACTAACCATACGTCCAACGTTGCCGTCCATAATTCACACACAGAAATATAACGAATCGGAACCGAATTAACCAATTGCTCTGATACCAGATGTTGGGAAAATAGGCTTTTCCACAAGTGTAAATCAATGGAAGCAATATAAATAAAATAACAGAAAATAAATAAGCACACAAGATTTACGTGGTTCCCTCAAATAACTTGAGGTACATCCACGACGACCGGTAGGTCAGTTTCTTCCACTATCACCAAATCAGATTACAAAGTGGCCAAAAGACATAAGCCTTACAAACACACCAAGGTGTAAATCACAAGAGGAAAATACCTCACAAAATAAGTGAACCAAATCTCCAAGAACAAACCGCAAGAAACCCAAATATCAAGTGAAGAAATATTACCCACTTGAAGAACAAATTTGCAGATTTTTCTGTCACCAAAAAAAGGAGAAGAAGAAGGCTGAATTTTTGTTGAACCAAAGACTGCCGAAAAATATGTCTTCTTGCCAAACCAACAGAGAAGAGAAGAACTAAGAAAGGACAAAACTTATAGTCTTTTGGTGGCTGCCAAATTCCTTTTTAACTTGAAGACTCCAAACCAAGTCTTGGATAAGAATCCTACACGGGTAAGCCACCAAAAAATTAGCAAATTGATGAGTCCCACAAAGGAGGGAAACCCAACACCCAACCCCACAAATCCCAATGACCATGAAGCCAGTAACCCACCCACTTCCCCTCTGAACCATCACAACCCACTCTTTGAAACACCGGCTGGAATTCAAGGTCGTGCCATGCGGTTAGATTTTCCAAAGTTTGACAGCTCCGACCCCACTGGTTGGATTTTCTGTGCCAAACAATTCTTTGCCTTTTATAATACACCCAACCCACAAAAAACTCCAATTGGCCTCATTTCACATGGAAGGCAAGGCACTTACTTGGTTTCAAGGGTTGGAGGAAGCACATCCGGTCCAGACTTGGGATGCATTTGTCGATGCACTTCAACTGCAATTTGCTCCTACTCCGTTTGATGATCCAGTGGCTGAGTTTACTAAACTTCGGCAGACCTCCACATTTGAAGATATCAGTCCCACTTTGAATTACTTTCAAATCGCATCACCAACCTTACTGAAGATTTCAGGGTCAGCACCTTCATAAGTGGGCTCAAAGATGACATCTGCACCATGATCACTATGTTTAAGCCATCTGATTTACCCACTGCCTTCGGCCTTGCCAGAATTTATGAAGAGGAAGTTTGCAGGCATGTCACATATATTCGGCTTAATTTCACTACATCTGCCCCAAATCCAGCCCAACAACAGACTAGCTTCTCTAGACTTCCCTCTTATCGATCCATGACTCCCTATACACCTTCCCCATTACCAGCACCTCCACCACTCCCTAACCGACGCCTTCTACCATCTACACCAACAATCAATTTACCCATTCAACGCATATCTTCAGCTCAAATGCGGGACCGACGTGAACGAGGCCAGTGTTATTATTGTGAAGATAAATGGTCCCTTGGGCATCGCTGCAAGACACCTAGAGTGTTTTTGCTGTAGGGATTGGAAGATGATGACTCACCTGGAAATCCGGAACCACCTGCTATTACCATTGAGGATACTGACAGCCCTATTCCATCATCACCAAGTGGCACAGCTGAGATATCCTTACACGCAATTTCTGGTGCCCCCGCACCTGGCACTATGCAATTACTTGGCCAGGTGGGCTCACAGAAGGTCACGGTGCTTACCGACACAGGCGGCACCCACTGTTTCATAGATCCCAAGGTAGCTGCTCGTGCAAACCTGCCCATAATGGACGGACCTCACTTGTTGGTGATGGTGGCCAACGACGATCGTCTTCCTTGCTTAGGCTGCTGTGTATCAGTTCCTTTCTCTCTCCACAATCACAAATTCTCCACTACTCTCTACTTGCTTCCGTCGGGAGGATGTGATTTGGTTCTCGGCGTCAACTGGTTATGCACCCTTGGGCCAATCATGTGGGATTTTGCTAAGCTTACTATGGGCATTACTTGGCACAATAACCCCGTTATTTTGCAGGGATTAAGCCCGTCTGTGCCTACACTGATGGAATTGCATGACTTCTGCTCCCATTCAGGTCCTCACACAAAAGGATTGTTGGTTCACCTCTTGCAGGCAGATTCTTCCACATCCACTCCTGAGGTGCCTCTTGCCCTCCAACCGTTACTTACTACTTATGCTGACGTCTTTCGGGAACCCACCAGCTTACCTCCACATCGGAGCCAAGACCACAAGATTTCTCAACTCTCAGTCTCTCGCCCTTCTCTGATGGTTTTCTGGGGAGTTTCAGGGTTGAGTTTTGGAGGTGGTGGTGACGACTTCAGAGGTGGATAGTGGGTGGTGATGGGTTTCGTGGATGGGCAGTGGGTTTTGCTAGGGAGTTTTAGGGGTGGATAGTGGGTTTCGGTGGTTGTGGTGGGTTATGGGTTTTGGTGGCGGTGGGGGTGAGTTTTGGTGATTAGATTGGGGCTGGGTTTCGGGGGTTATGGTGATGGGTTTCAGTGTGGTGGGTGTAGATGATGAATTTTTAGTATAATATCAAACAAGTTTTTTATTTTTGTTTTCAAATAAGTACCATAAATATCTAAGTTACTCTACATTAAGCCTTAATCATAGAGGTTTTTGCCAGAAAAAAAAAGTAACCAAATGATTAGTTCTGAATAAGTAGCATATATCTTTCGATATCAAGCCAAATATATAGGTCCAAGTCTACCTAAAGATGTTGTAGCTCAAGTTTTTTTCCTGCTGTGCACATCAATGCATTACATAGCACCATCATCATAATGACGATACAAAAATAGCATAATCAACAGCAGTCAACTAATATGCACTATAGTTCCGATCCAGAGGGAAATATCAATGATAATTATGTTGAAACTTTTAATTAACAATGACGTAGACACCAAACTCCCCACCAATATTACCTACTTCTTCATCAATCAGTCTTAAACAAAAATAAATGTGACGAAATCCAATTCATGAAGAACAAGGAGTTAAGTAAAAATGTGAACAGGCCATAAAATGAGGATGATCACAAATGCACCAAAGTTTTCAAGTAAAGCCTCTTCTGGAAAACTAACCTGTAAAATGTTGTTTCGGAGTGAATGGGTAATGTCCCAGAAATAAACATGTCACGAATCAGTTTTAATGTAAACATAAATCAGCACAAAACAGGAAAAAAATAGGTGTACCTTCCCAAGCCCTGTTGCATGACTTGCAGATTTGTCTTTTTTTTAAAAAAAAATCAATATTGCGTTTTGCCTCTCTCACCACCCTTGTATCATTGGTCACAGTACCATTCTATATCATAAAAAGTACCTAGGAGAATGCTACGGGTCATCTACAAGGTATCTAAATCAAGCAAGAAAAGTTCAAACTCACTTTAGCATCTGGTGTCAATCGCCTAAAAACTTTTGATATCTACAAATTGGAAAACATAATATCTCATAGCTGGCAAACGATTTGAATAATTGCCGTGTCTACAAAACATTCAAATTCCCAAAACCTGTTTTACAACAAGCGGCATTATTTGATGGGTGGCAATACACTTTTCAAAATCGACCTTAACGGTGCCTGCACATAATGAATGTCAACGTTAAAGGCATATCCTAAGTTCAGTGTAGTTTAAATGAGATATTTATCTTACAAATCAAAACAAGAATACATTAAATTATGACAAGGCACAAACTTCATTCTGCCTGTGCACAGAAGACAACCATTTTGGGCCACTAATTATACGTGCAGATAAATGTTTAATGAACACCATCTTGTGTCCGTAATAAAAGCGATGAGCCACTTGAAATAACTTTCCTTAAAATATCGACTCATGAATAGGGGAAAGAAAAATAAATTATGGCCAGTTTGGTAGAAGGAGTGAAGCCAGGAGGGATGGAAAAGGTAATAACAGGGAAAAGAAGCTTCAATTTTCTCCACGTTTAGTTGGGGAACAAAAAGAAGGAAAGGGCTGTTACTTAATTTTAAAAATCACACCTCTACATAAAAAATGAAAGATTTTGTTTGAAGACAAAAGGTTAAGAAAGAAAAGGACCTTCATTTCTCCCCAGTTTCTCTCAGTTTCAAATGAGAGAATATGGTCAGCCTAAACAGGATAGACCACCTCTCCTCTTTTTTCCCTTCTCCTTCCCCTCCTACCAAAGGAAGGACATTCCATCCCTTCCTCCACTCTTTCTTTCCCGCCTCTCTTTCTTTCATTTGTTCATTCTAACAAAATATAAGTCAAGTGGTTCATGCGACAGGGAAAACATTTTAGGCTTACTGTCGGTAAACGTTATGTGCATATAATAATTTAGAGAGATTTTCAGTTGTTTAAATGGACATTGCTTAGTGGAGGGCTTGATGTTCGGGCTGTCATGAGTTTAATTGCACCAGGATGCACAATCCATATCTTCTGGCTTGGCCACTTACAATAATTTCAGATAGAACAGCATGGCTAATTTCCCAGATGCTGTACTTCTAATGGTTGGTAAGGAGATAAATATCAGAGTTTTCCATGATGACCAAAAATTTAGCTCATGATAATTAATTCACAAAGAAAGAAAAGGAAAAGAACGAAGAACATTTTGGTGAGCAAGCAATTTATCTGTGGTCAGTGTTCTTCTTTAAGGCGTAAAGTGAATCGAAGCGAACCGGTCTCCTGAAGGTCTAGGTGCGAAACGAGCACTTTATTGAAGCAAAACAAACAATATAAAAAATAAGTAAATATTTAGTTTCATGCTTTGATAAATATTCAAGTTTTAACCTTACAAATTTAAAATATTTAAATGCAATCAAAATAATAATCATCAATATATTTTAAATAGACAAGATATTAAATATTAATCATTATTATATTCTAAAAATAATTAATTGACATAATCACGTCATCTAAATATAAAGTTGACAAATGTGGGTTCGACTTCTCCCGTGATTGATTAATATCACCACTAAACAAAACACTCACAAATTGATTAATCAAGTAGAGTATATAGCAAATTGATTAATCAATTTGATTAACCAAGTAAATTAATTAACAAGAGCATTCATATTAAAACAAAGCATCGAACATTATTTAATCATAATAAGATAGATTGTCATATGATACTGTTGCATGAATCAATCAATTTATTTTATACATTTACACATATAACATCTGTAAATATAACATCATCTCTACTAGGGTTTGGTTAATGTTAAAAAAGGATAGGGGAGAAGGGGAGAGGAGGAGGAGAAAATAAAAAAATTATAGATAGGTGTTCACTCTTCTTGCCTGACTAACTTATTCAATTCGTCGCCTAAGCTCCTTTTACTTAACCTTACTTCGCCTTGGATGTTCAAGGCGACCGAGGCTTGCTTCGCTTCTCGCCTATTACAAAACTGTCTATGGTCAAGGAAAAAATTTGGATATTGGATTGTCGTTTTAAGTTACTCTTTCCTTAAGTTGTGACATTCTGCATATATTTTGTTTGCATACGTCATAAATACTAGGCTTTTCTTTTTATTTCTATAATTATATTTCTCATGAATAGACAATAGTACTCATACGGGCACATCTAAAGTAATCATCAACGACCATGGTGTATCAAACATATTGGTGCTTTACCATTCTTGATTCTCTCGATAAGCTCTTGACCACCAACATCAGCTCCAACTGCTCAGGCCCCAGCTGCAGCCGCCCTTCAGCAAAGCCAGCCACCCGAAGAGCCTGAGAAAGGACAACATTAATAAGATAATCTTGGAGAGTAGAACATCATTTATGACTATTATATTTCATCAAGCGTAGACTGTACCGCTCCAGTACCATGAGGCAGAGATGCAGAACCACTAAACACCTGCACTTCAACATGGAAAGATATGAGGAATACTTTCCATGCATGCTATTTAAGAAAGTAACAGCAGGAACACATTTAATCTATAACAACAATATGCATAATATTTGCCAGCTCAGCCTCAGCAGGTCATCTGTATAATAATAGAGGTAGAAGTTTTGATCTCATCCTCTTATATTTTTTCGCTTATTTCTATCGCATCATCTATCAATGTTGAATTATTTAATTTTTTATAAATTTATGACTCAATATTTTATTTAAGACATTTTTCATTTTACGATAATGTACATATATTAATTTTTGTTGAGGTTATGTATTTTGAAAAAATTGTCTATTTTGTTAAAAAACATAATGGGTAGAAATTAATTTCAAATTATGTAATTAAAAAAATAGAAGGAAAGAAAATTTGTCATTTAATAGTATTAATTTTTTGAACACTTGAATTTTATGTTGTATCGTACCTTTAGGCATGAATTACAACTAATTTATCTATAAATAGCCAATGGCTCATCTAAGCACACACCAACTCTGGGCAATGGAACCAGTCGAAGCTACTAAAGAAGGGCCCACCCACCGTACACATAAACCACCACCTAACTTATAGCCTACGTGTTGCAACAGATAAAGAAATAAATACTTGTTATTCTTATTTCTCCTAAAGATCGACATCCATTACACTTATCTCTTCTGGAGATCTGCCTAGATCGTGCAGACTCATTTTATTTGGAGGCAAGTCTCTTACACTAGGAAGGTATGCTTTCAGAAGCCCAAAAAGAACTTCCTTTTGGTGTATTCTCTCAAAATGATTACTACGTTAAGCATTGAGGTCTCCACCGGAGAGCCGGGGGCCCCTATACTTGCACTTGCTTCCCTTTTCTCTGCCTTGCAGTTTTTTAGCAAGCTATCTTCTCTATTTAATTGTTGATCAAATTCTGATGTCAATAGTTTGGCGTTAACTATGGGAATGACAAAGTCATTGTCTTTCCACAAAACCTATGTTTCACGTATGAGATAGCTCCCATATTCAGGTCCTCAGAAAGTCAAAAAGACCTGATTGGCATGTCGAATGCTCCCAAAAACATACAAAACAAACCAATGTTGCACAACCCCTCACATGCAGACCGATTGGCATAAAGCCACCCTCCTCTAAAGGCTAACTCAGGCAGCAAAGGTTGAGCGAGAATAAAAAACAATCCAACTTCTCTACAAAGAACGGAAAGCCCACAAAAGCAGACTAGCCTACCCATCAGACAAGAACAATTACATCACTGGACCCTAGCTAGACACTCCTCAAGAGTAAATGCACAACCAAGCCACGCCACCGAGCTACTCCAATGGCCTGATGAGAGACTCATGGGAGACCCAAGGAAATGAGATCAAGACAAATTTTGTGCCATCCATTAATCAATCATACCTAACAGAGGAATGTCAGCAACTCCACAACGAGATCCAAATAGGCATTAGGAGAGGGTGACCCCATGAGTCTGATCAAGAGAGGACCTCACGATAAAACACTTGTTAAACTACAAGCATGCACAAAATCACCAAAAGCTATGGGAAACATCAAATGGCACCCAGTTCCCTCTAACACTGACTTCTTCATTCTCAAATTCTTTAAGCCCTATTATCCAAGTTCTTATAAATTCTTCAATCACAACATGAACTAGCATCGGACAGATCTCCAAGTTCCTCTAATGAGTCAGACAAGAGGAAGACCTTAGGGATTATACCAAAGTAAGCCACCCAAAAGTCCGAATTAAAAAATTTTGTGCCTAATGGCCTTGGTGTAATAGCTCGTCGACTAAAAGCTACTACTTCAGTTTGGTTGCTATTAGGAAGGTAGGACTTGAGTTAAACCTCAAGGCATGTACTTGAGTTAAGCCCTGTAATAAGTGCTTTAGTTTGGTCATTCACCTTAGGAAATACTAGAGTTTGTATATTGGAAGTCCAGGCCAAACATCCTCGCACATTAAGTGCACAAATCAATCCGAGTCAAGCAATCCAATCGATTTATAACCAACCGGAAACTGATTTGAGACCTCTTTTTCCCCATTTTTTCATTTATTGAGAAGGACAACTTCTAAGGATGTTTAGGCTTCAAAAACTTTGTATCGCACTATCTACTTATTTTGGATCCAGGTCGGAAGAGTTACACCTGACCGTTTTAACTCATTTTTGCTTTCATTCCTTTTCTTTGAAAATAAGCCTACAAGACATTTTTAAAGTACTTTGCGCTTTGAAACAAAAAACAGAGTACCCATCCAGCCTCTTTACTTATTCTACTCGCTAGCGGTCCCACATGCAACGCGCAGCCAAATATGCACTTCTTCTTTTAGCCAAGTGCGTACTCTTACTTTTATTGCTACTAAAATGTAAGAGGGTGGCTAAAATGCAAGTGTGATTAAAAATTTTTTAATGTAAAAGTGGTTGAAAAATTTTCTGTAGTTAAAAAATCTAAGTTAAAAGATAAGTTATTGGATCCAAACGATCTTACGTTGTTTGTTAAAAGATTTACCACTGTAAAATTTAAATAATAAGAAAGCCATTGAATTTAGACACTCTAGACTGTTGTTGTGATTTACAATGAAAACCTTTTTATCTTATTGTATAGATTCTTAGGTTTCTAAGTCCATTTATAAATTCATTGAGAATAGAAAAAGAAACATTATTGCTTTTTAAGCAAAATCTTATTCTCTCACATTCTTGCAAACAAAAAGGCTTTTTTGGAGCTGTGTTATTAGTTTTGAACACAATAGGAGGCCACTAGATCAATGCTTCAAATTCAGCACAATAATCTTGAGATTGTGGGTTCGAACATGTGGGCAGTCACATTGTACAAATAATGTCAAAGGTTAGGCCTGTACTCAATCCACCCTCCCTCACCCCATTAATGGTAACTAAATTCGGTATTATTTATTTCTATGTCGTCAGTTTTGAAGAAGCCTATAAAATGGTGAGTCTCTGAAAGGTGAATAGGGTATACTACATAATACTATTGTATGCAACTGATCATTCTTCCCTTAGATAATTCGCCACTTTATGTCGTGGTTATGAAGATAGACTTAAAAGACATGATTCACAGTTAGAAAAAAAGATTACAATATGATTCCAGACGATTCGATGTTGTGATCATGTCATTATAGTTAATTCATAGTTAACACAAAGTCCTTAACAACATTTTCTATAATTTATGCTGAAACTTAGGGGTTATTTAATAACGTTTTTGTTTTCACGTTTTCAAAAAAATAAAAAACAGAGACAATTTTTGTTTTGTTTTGTTTTGTGGTAAACACTAAAAATAAAAAAACATATTTAGAAGTCATTTGTGTTTACCAAATTATGAAAATAAAAACAAAAAACATATTTAGTAACCAATTCAAGTATATCCTTAATATTAGCTTTATAATAACTATTCACTAACAATTCTATATAACATATGAATTTCAACCCAACACGTCTATATGAATTTCAACCTAACAATTCTATATAACTTATAACCATTCACTATCCATTTTTTTTTTTTAACAAGAAAAAATTTTATTTCAAAAGTTGGCCAATTACAAGAATCAACAGAGAAATACAATCAGTCAATCTCATCACAATACAACAAAATCAAGTCCACCCCGCAAAACCAAAAAGCTATACAATATACCCATCCTCACTCTTGCCCTTTACAAACCAACCAAAGTGCACCAGAAGCTCCAGATCAGACTGCAGTAGCAAACAGCACAGCACATCAGACTGTTGTAGAAGTCCAAACAGCTCAACCCTTATCATCAAAAACCACCACGGTTTTCACAACCATTCACTAACCATTCAACCCAACATATATTCAACACTCACGCGCACAACACACACTCACATACAAACTCAGCACACACAGACACACCAACACTTAGTGCTTGTTTAGTGGTTTTCATCCCGGATTAATTCTGATTCAACTTTTTAAACCAGGTTTGGTATCGGTTAAATGGTTTTCAACACAGTTTTTGGTATTTTTTATAGGAAAAAGTCTTTCATTTCATAGAAAGAGGTAAATGTAAATACATGGTGGATAAGAAATCCACAGAAAAGCCAAAAATAAAGCAAAGACACTAAAAAATCACAAAATTACCCAATACAAACAACTTTCCAATTATGTTGGACAACTAATAAAAGAGTTATGTTAAGGGGGGAGCCCAAGATTTATACGTGGGGGGCACTAACTACAAGTTTAAAATCTTGTCTTCTTAAGGATTAAAGTTAAAAACACATAAATTTTTTAAATCATATATAATACCTAAAATTTCATTGACAAAAAGGGCCATGGGGTATAGAAACAAAACAAAGTTCTAATTAGACCCTTTTACAAAAAATGAGACTAACTATAGCTTTTTACAATTGACCTTGACGGGATTTCATATTTTAAAAGCGTTGAATGATAACATCATTATCAATGCAATGAAAAATGTCTTTCTCTGTATATACAATCAAGTTATCTATCATCCATTGATCACTTATTCGATTAAACAATCGATTCTTCACAATCTTCATAGCCGAAAATGATCTATCAACTGTCACAGTTGCAATTGGCAAAATCAATGTCAATGCCACAAGTAGACCAATGGATATACCACGTTCTTTTTTATCTCAACCATTTTCTGAGCAAGATCTCCAATTCCTAATAAATTTGAAAACTCAATACTAGAGCACATATCAATAATAAACTGTCCAGCTGATCAAAAAGTATCATGAGCTCTAGTGAAGAAAATTCTTTCCGATAAAATTGGGCAAGACGAACCAATTTCTCCTTATCAACATCTATGAAGGAATCAGAAGGACTCAAATATGCCACAAAAGAAGCAAATCAATTGTTGGTTTAGTAAAGTGACTATTTAGACCTTGAAGTTGCATATCTATGATGGTAGAAAATAACTCAACTTGATAGTGGTGCAAATTTGTCTTCTCTCGAGTACGTCTTGACATCCATCGACCTTTAAAGATATTGTCCATATCTGGAACAACTATCTTATATTTTTTTCACAAAAAGATGAGACATCATCAAGAAAACAACTTCAACCAATTTTCTTTCCTGAGTAATGCCTGCGACAACTCATTTGTGATTCTCAACATGCTTCTCATCAATTGAAGATTGAATACAAACTCAAAAGATTGTAGCAAATCCAAAAGAACATTTGCATCCTCTCTTTGTTCCGCATTTATACCATCCTCTAAAATCACATATCAAGTACATCAATCACCGATGAGAATATATCAATTAAACTGATCAAAGAATAATAATGTGAACCTCAACGTGTATCACAAACATATTTAAGATTAGTTTCCTGATTTAGGTCTCACCCACTTGAAATCTCTTCATTATTGAATAATTCAATAACTTTAGTCACTTGTTTCTCCCTAAGAATATCTCACCGTTTACATGAGGCTCTCAAAATATTCACAATATTAGCAACCAAGTTGAAAAGAGTCGTGATTTGAATATTGATTATTTGCAATAGCCACAAGAGTTAATTGCACATTTGCAATTGATGAGAAAAACAATAGACATAATATGCATATGCATTCTCCTTCATTATAGGCATCTTGAGACCATTGACCTCACCTCACATATTACTAGCTCTATCATAACTTTGCCCACACAATCTTGACAAGCTCAATCCATGTCTAGTAAATAAATCTTTTACAATTGCCTTAAGTGAGAGAACACTAATATTAGTAACATGTTCAAAATTTAAAAAGTATTCAACTACATGTCCCTTCTTGTCCACAAATCACAACACAACAGTTATTTGCTCATTTGTTAATACGTCACGTGATTCATCAATAAGAATAGAAAAAAGTGCATCACCAAGACGGGTAGCAATAGTATTGCACATTTCAACAAAAGTTGCATGTAAATGTCTTTTTAAATTTCAGGTGAAGTTAACCAGAGATTCTTAGGAACATTTTTCAACACAATAGCTTTAATATCGTCATTGTTATTAGCAAGAAATCTAAAAAGCTCAAGGAAGTTTCTTCGATTACTTAAATTCTTAGATTCATTGTGACCACGAAATGCAAGTCCTTGCCTTAGAAGAAATCGAATACAATCAATGGATGCAGCCAACCGGGTTCTGTATTCACTTCGAGTTT